AAGCAAGACTAAAGAAGGGTGAAGCAACACAAGAGAATTAGGCTGCTGAAGAGTGTGGCGGGTGTCGCAGAAACAACGTAAGTAGGTTGGCGAGAAAGTTAAGGGGGGTTTGTGAGAGTTGGTCGGCCATCGCACAAATGTTAAAGTAGCACGAGTTGAGCCCCCTCCACTAGGCCATTTGCTGCGCCTCACTCCTTCTGAGGCTACACACAACGTGGAGAACACCCGTGGCAAGTGCTGCTGCTCGCATAACGCTCTCTATATATATGGCCCGGTCAGTGCCACCAGACAACAGTATCTCTCAACAAATGAACAAATCCACAAGGGCCGTGACGAGGATTCGAACCTGCGTCCGGGAGCATCCCAGACACTGCCTTAATCGACTGAGCTACGACAGAGAAAAGGGTTGAAACCGAATTTTTACTGAACTTACTGGATCCCTGTATCTCTCTGTATCTCTGTATTCCTGTGTGATCTCTGTATCTGTCAACCATACAAAAGCCTACCCTAAAGCGGACATATTAGTCATTGATCACACTAAGAGCTGAAGCTCAACTCCCGCAAGCACAACTAGGTGAGCACGCACACACACACACACACACACACACACACACACACACACACACACACACACACACACACACACACACACACACACACACACACACACACATCATGCTCATAGACTGGTCATATGAAATTATGACCAGAAAACTCATTGTGATGTCACAAACATACTTCACGGTTCACTGATTAATAGATTTTTAAATTAAATTGGAATATATTACTATACTTGTATTATGTTGTTATGTAATCTGTCGTAGTGTTAAAAAGGCCAGACATGGACTTGAAGTCTAGCAAGGCTTTTTAATACTTGTAACCTAGATTAAAAAAAAATTGAAAACAGATTTGCAAAATTATCGATAAGTGACAAAAGAAAGCGAGATGTGTTTCCGTACGTGGGATTGGAAATGGGATCTAAGATACACTAGGGTTATGGCACCACTGCTTCAACAGCTGCACAAGAGTTCAAGACGAGGAACCACTGATGAACCTGTGCACATCTCTAAACAATCATATCACTGTAACTGTGCACATCTGTAAATAATCATATCACTGTAACTGTGCACATCTCTAAATAATCATATCACTGTAACTGTGCACATCTCTAAATAATCATATCACTGTAACTGTGCACATCTCTAAATAATCATATCACTGTAACTACACATCTCTAAACAATCATATCACTGTAACTGTGCATATCTGTAAACAGTCATATCACTGTAACTGTGCACATCTGTAAACAATCATATCACTGTAACTGTGCACATCTCTAAACAATCATATCACTATAACTGCAGCTGCAAGTGGGACTGTGCAGCCCTCTAAACAATCACCACACATGTGACTGCAGCATTCCAAACAATCTCAACACATGTGACTGTGCAGCTCTAAACAGTCACCACACATGTAACTGTGCAGCTTTCTAAAGTCACTACACATGTGACTGTAAAGCTCTAAACAGTCATCAAACATGTGACTGTGCAACTCTCTAAACAGTCACTACACACGTGACTGTGCAACTCTCTAAACAGTCACTACACACGTGACTGTGCAACTCTCTAAACAGTCACTACACACGTGACTGTGCAACTCTCTAAACAGTCACTTCACACATGTGACTGCAGCTCTAATCAATCGACATCCAAAATTATTTTCCTTCTGCTCTAGTTGCGAATATCTAAATCGAGAGAACAGTTACTACAATGAATATGGTGTGTGTGTGTGCGTGCGTGCGTGTGTGTGTGTGTGTGTGTGTGTGTGTGTGTGTGTGTGTGTGTGTGTGTGTGTGTGTGTGTGTGTGTGTGTGTGTGTGCGCGCGTGTGTGTGTGTGTGTGTGTGTGTGTGTGTGTGTGTGTGTGTGTGTGTGTGTGCGTGCGTGCGTGCGTGCGTGCGTGCGTGCGTGCGTGCGCGCGAAGTGATCAGAACGCATCAACTTGAAAAAATAGATCTCAAATTTAAAAGAAGTTTTGCGAATATTTATCCATTCTCAAATTATATAAATAGTTTCTGATAGTTAAATCAAAACTTAATTCAGAAGAAATCGTGTTTTTGCTGAGATTTTTGGTCGGGTGCATACAGGTGGAGACTGAGCAGTTGTAACAGACGCTGGTAATACTGCAGGTGAAGGAAGTGAGATAGAACAAATCCACAAGGGCCGTGACGAGGATTCGAACCTACGTCCGAGAGGGATCCCAGACGCTGCCTTAATCAACTGAGCTACGACATGGTTAAGGATCCCAGGCAGCGTCTGGGATGCTGTCGGACGTAGGGTCGAACCCTCATCACGGCCCTTGTGGATTTGTTCATTTGATGCATCAGGCTATTGTGATTTCTGTGTGTAATGAAGTGAGATAGCTTTAGCTGTTGGCGAGAGAGAGAGAGAGAGAACTACCCGAGAGACAGATGGAGGAAAGGAGGTAGTGTTGTACAAATTAGTTCTAACGTTCTGCTTTGAACTAGACAAGAGTTCATGACGCCTTTCTTCTCATAAGAACATAATAAAGGTGACTGCAGAAGGCCTATTGGCCCATACGAGGCAGAGCCTATTTATATCCAGCCACTCTCATTCATATATATATCCAACCTACGCTTGAAACAATCAAGGGATCCAACTTCTATTACGTTACACGGTAAATGCTTCCATAAATCAACAACCCTCTTACCGAACCAGTATTTACCCATGTCATTCCTGAACCTCAACTTACTCAAATTTATATCCATTATTTTGTGTTGATACTAATCGATACTTATTGATACTTAACGAGAAAGCTTATCTGTAGGAATTCTCGTGTTATGGAGAAGGGCATCGAATTGATATTATCTACACCACTTGTTCATTATTATCCATTTTCGGCCAATAATGAGAACCAACAAGCTTATTTTAGTCCAAGTCCCGTGGCTACAACTTAACTCCATTACTACTTTAGTCCAGTGTTTATAGAATAAGTTCCCTACCCAAGTCAAGTGACTATTGTATTACAACCATTTCCAGCGGGCACGGCACTTGGGGCTACAATGAAGCTCACAGTTGTCGTTGGACATTTTTGAAGATCATTGTTGTCCAAGTCCAATGACCGCTGTAGTTATATTTTTGCTTTCCAATTACTGCTGCAAGGTTAATTTTAGCCCAAGTCCAGTGACAACTTACCTTGTCTTGCGATGATTTCGGGGCTCAATGTCCCCGCGGTCCGGTCCCTGACCAGGCCTCCTAGAGTTTGACTCTACTGTAGAGTTTGTTCAAGAACTGTGTGTTCTGTTTATATATGTTTTATCCAAGCTTCGTTAATACTGTTGATATGTTTTGTCCAAGCCTCTTGAGTTTTCTTTAAATATCTTTTGTCCAAGTCCGGTGAACACTTTGAAGTGACCATGCGTCCAAGTGTACGGAGTACTGTCAAGTCCAATATACCACAAGTTCAGTCACTCCTGTGAAAGTATCTCCTCATATATATATATATGGATATCTACTACTGTAACCGGGTGAGAATAGCTTGAGCTACCTCATCCCTTTGTGTGTATTTTACCTCAATAAACTTATTTCAATTTCATTCTACTACTGTAGTTCCTTGTGGTCTAAACCCACTGGCTATGATTGCAATTGTCCCTTGATTAGGTGCCATGTCTACATAATGTAATGACTTAGTCCTATTATGAGGTTATGTTTGTATACAGTCTGACCCCAGTGATGTGGCAGTCGACAGTAGTAGTCCAGTATAGTATGGAGTAGCAGTGTGAAGTGTGGTGGTTGTGGTGGTTGTGGTGGTGGTGGTGTCAGTCACCGAGGATGTGTGGTGTAGCTGCTTCTCAGGCTGGAATGTGGACGAGTTAGGAGGTCAGCGTGCAAGGCAAGCAGAGAGTAACGTGTAATAACAATGATAATTTGTAAAGCCACTTTGGAAGCTAACGTTCCTCCCGTCCCCTCCCCAGATCACTTTGTGTGTGTGTGTGTGTGTTTGGAGTATGGTGGATGGTAAACACGGTCAAGTCTCAGTATAACGAGAATACTTACAGACGGTACTCTCCTCGAGTTTGTTGTAGAGACAGAACTTACGAGGCCGCTACTCTCGTAAACTCTCCTGTCTGATCTTCATAGCACCTAGCGACTGAATTTAGGTTACACTAGAGAATACACTCAGAGCATTAACACAGGTTATGTAGAACCTCGTAAACACCTCATTGGTTTGCTGTTTCATGTCAAACCAAGACACCGATAGCACTGCTAAAATACAACTGTGAGCCACGCATCAGCCCGTAATATGAACGCACCATTCACTGATAGCACAGGACTCGTGGCACTGGTGTGGCGCCAGTAGACGGGTCGCCAGGCACACATGGTGTGGTGGGCAGGGTGAACGAACACTACAAGACTCGTGCTGGAGGAGTGGGACACACACACACGCTCTGGCACCTTCAGGATAACTGAGGAAGCACAGGGAGCAGCGAGTGGGTCTGTTGTTGTTCCCCTTGGGAATCGGAAATCCCGCGTGTGTATGTACCCTGGAAGGCCCAGTCGTTGAGGGAGTCCCCAGCCCCGGGCCGTGAACACTCCGGCCTTCCCAAGGTCCTGTCTACCACTGTTCCTGACGCCCACCTCTATATACACACTGTTACTAGGTTCTCGCGGGAAATTTGCTGGGCACGTTTGGCGGAGGGGAGTCCCCGCACTGCATGCCAGGGCATTGACGTGGTTTGCGGGGGAGACTCAACTGTCCCTAAAAAATATACGCGCGCTTCAGAACGCTGGCGCATCTCTGGTTAATATAAGCGGTAGGGGACTTACCACACGTTGCTTGCACCCAGAGGGGCTTCGCGGGTATTTTCACAAACACTTAAGGTATAATTTAGTACATATAAAACTTGGAGTATGTGTTGTGGATACGTTAGGAGCAGGCGGGGCTGGCCCGGTGTAGCATTGTGAACTAAGTACCACTTACCTGTTCAGATGAAGGCGTGTGCGTGGTTCCGCTGGTCCTCACCAACTAACTCCAGCCCTGCCGACGACGTGCGAATACGCTGCTGCAGTCAGGGACGATGCGCGGAAATCCCAACGGAGTCGATCCGGACATCCCGAGTTCCCGTGCAAGGCGAGGGTGTGAGGGCGGGGCAGAGAGGGCCTGGCTGGCCTCAACACCTGCAGCCTCGCCCCTCCTGCTCCTCTACACCTCCACACGGCTGGCGACGCTCGTGTCAGACGCAGAAGTGCGCTGAGAGCGTGTAGCGACAGTGTCCCCGAGGCTCGCGGGAGCCACCTGTCCTGCTCATGATATCCGGATCTCGGCAGCTGCCACGGCCGCCGCCTAGACGGCTCGTAACGGCACCTCGCCTCACCCTCGCTTATCATGTACCGTAAATACTCCACTCATTTTTTGAGTAGGGTGATCAAAATAAAGTACATTTTTTGCTAACTATGATAATTTATAAACATAATGTAACAAAAAATTGGGTGCAGTTTGCTTTTGCGTTTGTGGTTGGTAATGTGGCGAGAGGTATGGGTGTGGACGGCCAGTGTGAGGAGCGCGAAGCATGAGACGGGAGGCGGTTATGACCCTACTTGACGTAATATGCAAGGCGACGGAGGCGTGGCATTCCAAGGTGGGCACGCAGGATGGTCGGCGATGGGCCTTGAACCATATTTTTGGTGTATGTAAAAACCTCCATGAAACTGCAGCGGTCCGCTACTCGGGTGATGCCGGATGTTGTACACGGATCTACTTCCCTCTGGCATTGTTAGTCCCTCCCTATCCTCCTGGCTACCTATCAAGGTCTAGTTTTGTTGCCTTGGCTAAACACGGCGCCGCACACATACACACACACACACACACCATGCGCGCGCCGCCACACAGATGCATTCCCCCCCCCCCCCCCGCGCGCACACACACAGTATGTGTCGTTACAAATTTCAGATTTGAAATAGATAGAGGTAGGATGATTTAGATGAGCGGTACGAGAGGGCTTACATGGTAGGCAGACACTCACGCCAGCCACAGGAATGCAAGGGGAACATTTCAGTGTAAGAGCAGTAATGAAATGCAACGAACTGAATGGGGAAGTAGTAACGAGCTGTCTCAGTACATTATCTTAAAATACTTGTGACAAGAAGCAAACCAGGTAAGGAGTCATTTCTTTAAACGCCTGAGAGCAGGAAAGGCAAGCGCAGGAGCTGGATCTCCGGTTAGCTTACACTGCTCAACTCCAGACACACACACACACATACATACATATATATATATATATATATATATATATATATATATATATATATATATATATATATATATATATATATATATATATATATATATATATTATGACAGTGTCAGACCACGGAGGAAGAATTGAAACAGGAATTTACTTAAGTACTTTCGTATATTAATACATCTTCAGAAGGAATGATTCATTCCTTCTGAAGATGGATATATATATATATATATATATATATATATATATATATATATATATATATATATATATATATATATATGATATAAGATATAGATGTATGATATAAGATATATATATATGTATGGGGTGGGAGTGTGGGTGGGTGTAGGGCGGGGCGGAGGGATGGGTAGTAGAGGTAGTCCATTAGTGTGAGGCGAGGCTGAGGAAGGTCAAGTTGTATAACCCGAGGGAAGGCAAACACACTGAGGCGTAACATTGGGCTCTCTGTGACATCCTGGTGGCTGGCAGCGTGTTTACCTCTCACACTACTGATTGTGAGTCCCCGAGGGTAGCTGGTGATGCTGGCCGAATGGTGATCTCATTATGTGCCCCGTGCCCACTCTTGGGTATATACCCTGTCCTTAAACCCGTCTCGGAGGAAGTAATCGTTTATGGGTTGTTTTGGGGTTTTTCTGACGTGTTGTTGGTTGTCAGTGGGCTTAAGGCAGAGTTGGGATGCTATCCGGATGTATAGGGAGCTGGCGTGTCCTTGGACACATTCTTTTAAGTCGATTGGTGTTTCTTAGCTGCTGCTCTGTGGTTGGTGTGGGGAGGAGTGTGCACCCGGGTGGGGTGGTGAGTCAAGTGTTGAGTCAGGTGAGGCAGGTGGTGAGGCAGGTGGTACAGGTGGGTGGGGAGGTGAGTTAGGTAATGAGTCAGGTGGGTGGGGTGGTGAGTCAGGTGGTACAGGTGGGTGGGGAGGTGAGTCAAGTGGTGCAGGTGGTTCAGGTGGGTGGGGTGGTGAGTCAAGTGGTGCAGGTGGTTCAGGTGGGTGGGGTGGTGAGTCAAGTGGTGCAGGTGGTTCAGGTGGGTGGGGTGGTGAGTCAAGTGGTGCAGGTGGGGAGGTGAGTCAGGTGGTTCAGGTGGGTGGGGAGGTGAGTCAAGTGGTGCAGGTGGGTGGGGTGGTGAGTCAAGTGGTGCAGGTGGTTCAGGTGGGTGGGGTGGTGAGTCAAGTGGTGCAGGTGGGTGGGGAGGTGAGTCAGGTGGTTCAGGTGGGTGGGGAGGTGAGTCAAGTGGTGCAGGTGGGTGGGGTGGTGAGTCAAGTGGTGCAGGTGGGTGGGGAGGTGAGTCAGGTGGTTCAGGTGGGTGGGGTGGTGCAGGTGGGTGGGGAGGTGAGTCAGGTGGTTCAGGTGGGTGGGGAGGTGAGTCAAGTGGTGCAGGTGGGTGCGGAGGTGAGTCAGGTGGGCGGTGGGGGATGGAGAAGAACAGATGCATGTTAGGGGTGACCTATTAGAAGAGCGGCAGGTGTTATGAAAGGGGGTTACAATAGGGGGCAGCAGGTGTTATAATAGGAGGGCAGGTGTTTTTATATGAGGGGGCGGCAGGTGTTGTAATAGGGGAGCAACAGGTGTTTTATCAGTAGGGCGGCTGGTTATGTGGATTCTGATGTGGGCACTAGGTAGGTATGGGGAAGGTGTTGTGGGTAGGGAGGCTACAGGTGTTGTGGGTTGTGACTCCCTTGTTATGTTATTCAACCGTTACGGTGTCACTGTGTGTCACCCACCCGTTACGGTGTCAGCTTATTCTAATTTCTGTCAAACTTGAGGCATATTTTGTGGATACCAAATAAATTGTAATCGGTTTCTTTGGCTTAAATAGATGTCATCTTTAAGTTCTTGATGTCCACTGTCCCGCTGACTGTGTACACACTGCTGAGACTAAACCCTAGATTAACGTGGTTTAATATGTCGAGATTGATGACAACTTTAACGTATATCGTAAAATTCACGGGAACCTTGGGGGGGGGATAGGTGTCTCCTTGACCAGGCTTTTTGTTTATTACACCCCCCCCCCCCCCCTTTCCCTGGGAAGCAGCCCGTAGCAGCTGTCTAACTCCCAGGTACCTACTTCTGGTAGGTGAACAGGAACATCAGGATGACAGAAACTCTGCCCATTTGTTTCCGCCTCCACCGGGGATCGAACCCCCGAACCTCAGGACTACGAATCCCGAGCGCTGTCCACTCAGCTTTCAGGCCCCTTCTATATTGTGTCCGGTATATATTGTGCATAAAGGGGGTTGCAGGTGTGTTAGACAGGTGTAAGGCAGGTATTGTGGCCAGTGTTCGGATGGTATTGCAGTAGAGGAAAGTATTATAGTGGTATCTGGTATTGTTGTGTGGTGGCATATGGGTTGTAGAGGGTGTACTGGAGGGGTGGGCGTGGCTGGTGTGGGCGTGGGCTATGGCGAGGGCGGCGAAGCAAGCATGTGAGACCTGCCTGCCAGGAGCCAAAGGTATGGTCAGAATTCCCAGCATCCGGCATCCCGAAGGACATTATCCCAGTGGAGTGTCCAGCGGCCTGGAGGACAAGGGCTTTTGTGTACAGTTAACACAGCTGATCCACTCTGCAGCTTCTACCCCTCTCAGTCACCCACGCTATCTTTCTCACTCACACCACAACACTAACCATTCAACCCCTCTCAGTCACCCACGCTATCTTTCTCACTCACACCACAAGACTAACCATTCAACCCCTCTCAGTCACCCACGCTATCTTTCTCACTCACACCACAAGACTAACCATTCAACCCCTCTCAGTCACCCACGCTATCTTTCTCACTCACACCACAAGACTAACCATTCAACCCCTCTCAGTCACCCACGCTATCTTTCTCACTCACACCACAAGACTAACCATTCAACCCCTCTCAGTCACCCACGCTATCTTTCTCACTCACACCACAAGACTAACCATTCAACCCCTCTCAGTCACCCACGCTATCTTTCTCACTCACACCACAACACTAACCATTCAACCCCTCTCAGTCACCCACGCTATCTTTCTCACTCACACCACAACACTAACCATTCAACCCCTCTCAGTCACCCACGCTATCTTTCTCACTCACACCACAACACTAACCGTTCAACCCCTCTCAGTCACCCACGCTATCTTTCTCACTCACACCACAACACTAACCATTCAACCCCTCTCAGTCACCCACGCTATCTTTCTCACTCACACCACAACACTAACCATTCAACCCCTCTCAGTCACCCACGCTATCTTTCTCACTCACACCACAACACTAACCATTCAACCCCTCTCAGTCACCCACGCTATCTTTCTCACTCACACCACAACACTAACCATTCAACCCCTCTCAGTCACCCACGCTATCTTTCTCACTCACACCACAACACTAACCATTCAACCCCTCTCAGTCACCCACGCTATCTTTCTCACTCACACCACAACACTAACCATTCAACCCCTCTCAGTCACCCACGCTATCTTTCTCACTCACACCACAAGACTAACCATTCAACCCCTCTCAGTCACCCACGCTATCTTTCTCACTCACACCACAAGACTAACCATTCAACCCCTCTCAGTCACCCACGCTATCTTTCTCACTCACACCACAAGACTAACCATTCAACCCCTCTCAGTCACCCACGCTATCTTTCTCACTCACACCACAAGACTAACCATTCAACCCCTCTCAGTCACCCACGCTATCTTTCTCACTCACACCACAAGACTAACCATTCAACCCCTCTCAGTCACCCACGCTATCTTTCTCACTCACACCACAAGACTAACCATTCAACCCCTCTCAGTCACCCACGCTATCTTTCTCACTCACACCACAACACTAACCATTCAACCCCTCTCAGTCACCCACGCTATCTTTCTCACTCACACCACAACACTAACCATTCAACCCCTCTCAGTCACCCACGCTATCTTTCTCACTCACACCACAACACTAACCATTCAACCCCTCTCAGTCACCCACGCTATCTTTCTCACTCACACCACAACACTAACCATTCAACCCCTCTCAGTCACCCACGCTATCTTTCTCACTCACACCACAAGACTAACCATTCAACCCCTCTCAGTCACCCACGCTATCTTTCTCACTCACACCACAAGACTAACCATTCAACCCCTCTCAGTCACCCACGCTATCTTTCTCACTCACACCACAAGACTAACCATTCAACCCCTCTCAGTCACCCACGCTATCTTTCTCACTCACACCACAAGACTAACCATTCAACCCCTCTCAGTCACCCACGCTATCTTTCTCACTCACACCACAAGACTAACCATTCAACCCCTCTCAGTCACCCACGCTATCTTTCTCACTCACACCACAAGACTAACCATTCAACCCCTCTCAGTCACCCACGCTATCTTTCTCACTCACACCACAAGACTAACCATTCAACCCCTCTCAGTCACCCACGCTATCTTTCTCACTCACACCACAAGACTAACCATTCAACCCCTCTCAGTCACCCACGCTATCTTTCTCACTCACACCACAAGACTAACCATTCAACCCCTCTCAGTCACCCACGCTATCTTTCTCACTCACACCACAAGACTAACCATTCAACCCCTCTCAGTCA